AAAAAAAAAAAAAAAAAAAAAAAAAAAAAAAAACACCCACCTTGTTGAGGAACTGTGGAAGGATCACTAGGCACCAAAGCATAATTCTCAATCCCACAAATCAAAGGCGCACCCACCACCCCCACAAGCTTCACGCTTAACATGCTGCTACTCAAATTCTTCACCGTGTGATGCCAAGTAAACGCAGCAAAACCCCCTACTTGCTTGTAAATATCAACCCTAGTCAAATTCTCATCATTGATGAACACATCAAACACCCTCTCCCCGGCCCTCCTCACCCTCCCTTCAATCTCCGCAAAATGCAGCCACACCAAGTAATCAAGCTTCGCGTCCACGCTCAATTCGTACTCCAAAACCCCGTCACCCTCCTCGGCCGTCGCCGCCGTCGCGGCGGCGCTCTGGTACAGCTTCTCCGGGAAGTAATTCGGCTTCTGATCGGTCCCGCTGATGCCATTCCGCGTGGACACGGCGACGACCCTGCTCCGGCCGGTTCGGAACTCCGAATCGGACTGCCACGAGCGGCCGAACCGGTCAGAGTCGTTGGAGAACCCCGGCCCCCACTGGTCGGAGCCGCAGGAGAGCCTCCCGTAGTTGACGAGCACCGTTCCGTTGTCGCCGATGGCGGCGACGTCGTAGGAGGCCGGATCGGCGGCGAAGAGCTCGATCGAGGAGACCACCGGAGGGTCGGTGGCGAAGCTGTAGAAGCAAATTAGGGCTTCGGAGGAAGCGAATGCGGCGAAGAGGTCAGCGTAGGCGCCGTCGCGCGCGACGGACTGGGGCCACGGGGAGCGCCAGGAGAAGACGACGGTGCCGGCGACGGCGACGTCGAAGGAGGGAGGGTGCGACTTGCCGTCGTAGTTGTCGTAGACGACGAACGTGCGGAGGAGGTAGCGCGAGGGCGGCAGCGAGGGAATTGCGTAGCAGTTCTTCTTCCCGGAGGAGATTGGGAAGTAGCGGAGCGTCTTCTCGTGCGCGTGACGGAAGCGCAGCGGCTCCGACACGATCGCGGCGGCGCCGCCGCTGAAGTAGCGGTCGGAGAGCCACGTGGTGTTAAACGGGTCAGTGCTGTTCGTTGGACTGCCGCAGTCGATGTGGTAAGCAAGACCTGTGTCAATAATCCAAATCATCATTATTATTATTATTAAACAAAAATTAACAAAATTAGAGTGGCGGTGTGAGGTTTTGGTTGTGTGCGGAGAAGCGTACCGTGTGGGAATGAGGGTGAGGGAGGAGCAAGAGTGTTCCCAGCGGTGGTGAAGAGGAAGCATAAGAAGAAGGAGAGAGTGAGAAAGAGAGACATTGTGTTTAGTTCAAGTGATGATGGTGTGAGCGTAAAGACATAAGGGAGAGAGAATGTGAACTAAAGAAGTGGGTAATAATGGTAATGATAATGTAATGAAATGAAAAATGAGATTCCCGGGAAATGTGGTGTAAGGTGTTTGCGTGAGAGTGGAGAAAAGGAAGAACCAAGGGTGAAGAAGAGGTGGAACTTGGAACGAAGGAGTGCTCAAGTTTTGTGACTTTTTTTGTTTTGTTTGTTTGCTTGTAGAAGTGAGAAAAAATGGCAATTAGTGAATCAAAATCGTGTTAATTGTACAAAAGGGGTGGGTTCGGTTGGGGTATAGTAACTCTACGTGAGTGAGTGTTGTAAGATATTGGTGGACTTGATGTTGATATCCATAAATGGACCTTTTCATGACAATAATGAGCTTTGTACGCACGTGACTCGAGCCAAGTCACCGTTCAGAAACTCATCAATCAGAACCTCGTCATTTACCTAAGAGCATTCTCTAAATAAGTCACTTCATTTATGTATACAACAAACTGTATATAATGGAAATGGAGGGAAAAAATATATATGTGATCAAATCAATTATATTGTTCCGATAATACGAAAACCATGGTATTTTAATATTTAAGTGTGTGTTTCCCTAAAAAATAAAAATAATAAGTGTGTGTTTTTGTGTCTAATAAATTTATCTTTATTTCGCTACAAAAAGTATTTTAGGATTCACTCTATTAAAGTTAGAGTATTCAAAAGTATAATTTGTTTTTTTTTATCTTAGGATTAGGATTTTTATAGTTAACTAATTATATGTTTATGGACTTGAGAGTTTCAGGATTCGATAAAAGTAATTTAGGTATCATATTTTTGTATATTATCTTGATTTTTAAAGATAAAATTTGGTCTAGATTTTTTAAGGTTGAACTGATTTTGACTTCCCTTAAGCCTGAATAAGTATAACAAATCACATACTATGTATTAGAGGTCAATTTAACACCATTTATCCCCTATTCTAACTTTGATTGGTATGTTAAGCGATACAGACCCCGACTTGTGCAATACATTAAATACTCTATTATTCATTGTCACCTTATATCATCTCGAAGAGTCCATGTTGTATTATATTTGAGATGATACACTTGTCCACCAATCTCAAGTCTAAAAAGCCTAGGAATTAGTGTAGAACAACCCCTGAATGATTCATTCATGTCAGATGTGACCATAATGGTGAATATTCAAGATGGTTAATCTTAAACATAGAAGTCTTCACCATGAAGAACATGTTACTCTAGCATTTAAGAGTAAGTATGTTTTTCTATGTCCAAAAGACTTATCTTGAACATTGAAGTTTTCTCTTATGTCATGTCCTTTTCTAGGGTGTTTTCAGATCCACTTATGTACCCCTCTCTTTTTTTGTATTGTGTTAATTGGGAAGTTATGACATCTTTTGTAGGTGTATTTATTTTGCAATCACCGTTGTGACTCTAAGAAGACAATTTGCCTACATAGTTACGTCACGATGTATGTAGAAGATCTTGTTGGCATTTGACTTAGGCATACAAGTAGCACCTAGTTGATATAGAACTCGCCTAAAGCCAACTTTTTTTGTGTGCAAAGAATAACCTAATTACCATGTTGAGGCTAAGGTTGGTTTGTGAACACCCAAGAGTTTACAGTCTTACAAGCTTTGGGTTGTAGGTTACACACACAATGGCCACACCATCCTCAAGCCTCAACATGTGACCGAGATGTAAGTTAGTTTGAAGTCGTATAAAGGTACACGTACATATATGATAAGAGAGGTAAAAAATATATAGTAAATATCTTATTGAAAAAAATTGTGTACAATAGAAACGAATAAAAAAATATAATAAAATAAATAATGTAAATATATAATAGGTTAAAACCCTTATTTGGTCCCTGATAACATTTTTTTTGTTTCAATTTAGTCTCACTTTAATTTTTGGTCTCAATTTGGTCCCCAATAATTTAAATTATTACAATTTGGGACTTCCATCCAAATGATTTAAACGGAGTTAACTGTTGGTCACGTGGATGCCACGTGGCGTCCACGTGGATGCCACGTAGATGCGTACGTGGATGCCAAATTGCACGAATACACCTGGAACCAGAATGGCCCGTTCTGAAACCAAAACGGGTCGTTCTGCTTGCACATGGTATGTATTAATTTTGTAACTGAAACGGGTCGTTCCAAATGAAAATTTCACACACCATGAGTGCATAAGAACGGGCTGTTCTGAAATCAAAACGGGACCGTTCTGAAACCAGAACGGGCCGTTCTGGTTTTAGAACGAGCCGTTCTGGATTCAGAACGAGCCTTTCCAGAAAGCCAACTTCATGCATGCATTGACCAAAATGCTGCAATGTGATTCAAAAATTGAAAATAAAAATTCATAACATATCATAAATTCAAAGACAGAAACATGATTCAGAAACTGAAAACAAAAATTCAGAACATAACATATACTAAAAAAGTTCAAAGAAATTACTGAGAAAGGAAATCATCTGGGTAACGCTCAAGGGAAAACATCGTTATGTTTCATCCTTGACTGTATAGTATCAATTTGGTAGTAAGTGGTTCACTCCAGTTTGACTAACAATGAAATAAAATTTGCTAACATTGTCTTTAGTGATACACTGCATTGTCCTTAATGATACACTGTATAACCCAATTGTTCAGCAATTGAAGTTATCAATTTTCATTGATAATATTACCAAATCCAGTGTTTGAAATGCTTTGTACCTTGGATCTTTTTTCTTTCACGATTCACAACCGTAAACTATAATCAGTGACCATTCGTGTGTGGTATTCTAGAACCAGAACGACTCGTTCTGAAACCAGAACGGCCCGTTCTGGTTGCACTCTTAGTATGTTAAATTTGCACCTGGAACGGGTCGTTCCGGATACAAAATTAACACACCAAGAGTGCATCCAGAACGGCCCATTTTGGTTTCAGAACAGGCCGTTCTGGTTCCAGGTTTTTTCAAAAAATTTGGCGTCCACGTACGCATTTACGTGGCATCCACGTGGATGCCACGTGACCAACAGTTAACTCCGTTTAAATCATTTGGACGGAAGTCCCAAATTGCAATAATTTAAATTATTGGGGACCAAATTGAGACCAAAAATTAAAATGGGACTAAATTGAAAAAAATAAAATGTTATCAGGGACTAAATAAGAGTTTTAACTTATATAATAAATATATAAAATAAATTATGTATATGAACTATATTTTTTTGGAACTAAATTAGAATAAATGTATCTTTGTGCTCAAATATCTAACTCGCTTTGACTAAAGAAACTATTGTTTTTCAAAGAAAATACTATTGAGCCCTTAGTTAGGAGACAAGATCTAAAAGAGCCACTCCAGTTTTACAAATAAATTATTTTTATAATTATTTTTCTAGTAAATGTTAAACCAATGAGAAAATTTATAAAATTTATCAAAATAAAATAACTAAATTTTTTTCCATAATATGAATAATACCCCTTAAAAATTTAAGATAAATTATTTTTCCATATATTTTTCTTTCTGTTAATGTCCACTTTACAACCACATTATAAAGTAAAGTTGACTAGTTTTAGAAAGCATTTAGTAGGAGAAAAAGAAAAATGTCATGTCTCTACTCCATCGTATTATTAACTCTAAAATAAATTTTAAAGTTAAACTTTTATTAAAATTAATAATAATATTTTTAATAAAAATATTTTAAAAATGGATCTTAAAAAATAATTATATTTATATATCTTTTAAAAATAAATTTTTTGAAGTGATTTTTAAGAATGCAAAAGTAGCTTTTAAGTTATAAAATCTTGAAAAAAATTATATAAATAATAATATAAAATATTTTATTAAAAGAGGCCTAAAATAAGGACATTGTTGACCTCACATGCAGGTCGGCCCTGGACCCATGGTCCTAATTTTTTTTTTATCATTTTATTTTGTTTTATTTTGATTTTCTATACCTATTTTAATTTGTTGTATTTTTTTAAGTGTAAATCACATATTTTTGGCAAAGTTAAGAATGTTGCATAACAATAATATTATTTTTTTGATTTGTGGATAAGATTCAGTATCTTAAAATTGTCCATTAAAGATTAATTTATGTTTGTAAAACATGATTTTTATTGACCAAACATTCATATCAATAATATAATTATCTAAAAAATAGTAATTTCCTATTAATTGATTCGCATACCTAATTATGTACTTAATGATATCAATGATAATTTTAATTAATAGAAGAACTATTTTAGAATAGTTCTTATAAAATAGATTAAATAATTTTAATTTAAAGGGGGTGTATTGGTTTAGGATTTCTTAGGATTTTAAAAGACTTTTTTTGAGTAAAAAAATCCATTAGTATTCAATCAGGATTTTATGTCACTTAAAAATAATCCAGTGGTATTCAATCAGGATTTTCAAGATTTTTTAAAGAGTCCATTAAAATCCATTGGTATTCATTTGAGATTTTTTACAACTTAAAAACAATCCATTGGTATTCAAAAATATAAGGATTTTAAAGGATTGTTGTGTGAGAGGGATTTTGAAGGACTTTCTAGTGTTATCTATAAATACCAAATTCATAAAACAATCCCATCCAAACCCATCGGATTT